GATCAGATTATCAATGATGCAGGTCACTCTCTCTTAAGACTACCACCTTACCACCCAGAGTTAAATCGAATTGAATTAGTGTGGTCTGCTTTAAAACGATTTTTGGCAGATGAAATGTCGACTTTAAATTTCAAAATTTTGATAAATATTGTGATGAATTTTTCCACAAAGTTTCCCAAGAAGAGTCAAAAATATTGCGAACACACTATTTCCTTCGAGCATTATTTTTTTAAAAAAAAAAAAAAAAGAAGACTTCGATGGGCTGGTCATGTAGTGAGAATAGAGACTGAAAGATTAACTAAAAGAGCCCTAGATAGTAAAATGCAGGGCGCAATACCAAAAGTAAGGCCACGGAAAGGTGGTGAGATGAAGTGGAAGTAAACGCGCAAATTTTGCTAGACGTGAGAACCTGCAGAAGATCGACACGGGACCGGCAAGGTTGGAGGCATAGTTTGGAGGAGGCCAAGGCTCGGTTTGGGCTGTAGCGCCATTGTAGATAGAGAGAGAGAGAATTAATAATACATTTCTAAAAGATAATAACAATAATAGCGTGAATTCTTTAGAAAATTGCAGTTCCAAGACAGAAGTTGAACCTAATGATCTTAAACTTTAATCTTGAATGGTGTTTTAAAAATTATATTAAGTATATGATATCTGTTTCTGAATTCTGAATTCTACAAACACGTACGTATCTTTTCCTTCAACAATGTTTTCATTTAGAAGTTACAAATTATGCTCACACTCTGTAAACTTGCTGTACAGAGTGTACCAACGAGGCGAGGAGAGATAGTGCATTGTATATCATTTCTTCCCAATGCGTTCTCATTTAGATTTCTATGCAGAATCGGTAAGTTCTAAGCTATAGTTGGTGATTAGTACTTATTAAAAAAATTACTAAATAAATCAAATCTCCAGTACTATTTTTTGTGGGTCTTAAGAAAGTATTTGGTACTGTAAAACGTGCGCTTTTTTGAGAGCTTTGTAAGAATGATGCATTGAACACCAGAGGCTTCTCTCAGTTCCCTCAACTCGTATGTCGTCAATAACGTCAGTTCTTCAGAAATTTCAAAACTTTATGTATTCTGACTTTTTAAATTTGATACAATGTATGTATGAATGTAGTCTCAGTTCGATAATGGATCAAAAAGGAAATAATAATGTTGGAAAAATTATGGATTGTAATTTAAGCAACAGGTACTATTGTGTGTACTAAGCTAAAAGCGTACTTTTGATAATAAATTATGAATATGTATTGAAAGCATTACAGCTTTTAAAATCGCCCTGTAAGTGTATCAATCATTCGATATCATTAATAGCGATAAATAAAAAAGGTAAACAAAAACTAGTGGTTAAGTTAATGAATATTACAATGACATTTGATACTGTTTTAGTATGAGGAACCTAATACTAATACCAACGAATGTAGACGTAGAATGTTGAATCTATATTCGCTGCTAATACAAGCGTCTACATTCGTTGCTAATACCCAGTTTGTTGTATTGATAATGATAAACACAAGGCTGTAGCAGTTGACTGAGATAATTTGTTAAAATTAAATAACGGTGTACATATCTACATAATTATATTGTAAGTGCAATGTTTATTTAAAATGTTATCTTTTTAGTTTCATCTGCATATTTTCCTTTGTGTAAAAATTAAACTACATTTTAATCTACAGTTTTAAATTTTAATGAGATTAATCAATGATTGGATAATTTGATCTCATGAATCGTATTTCCGTCTCATGATGGCGCTTTCTATAGTTACGTCCACTGTAAACGTGCACATCAAGCCTGTGTTACTTATATTTTTCGGCCAGAAAATGTTGCATATACACTATACACTGTGCACCAAAATTAACGCATAATTTTAAAACTTTAATTTCAGCCTTAATACATCAATTTTCATTTTTCTTTTATTTTTTGAGGTTGGTTTTAGAACAACTAAAATAAAATGTTATTTTTTTACGAGAAATGTATGCTAGCTGACATTATTCACAAATGAAGGAAAATTTTTAAAAACCAAAAAAATTAAATTAGAAGCAAGTTTCGCCTCATCTAGTTTTATTCTTATAACAAAGCCTTTATTACCCCCTAAAAACAATCTCTCGTACTAAGAATTACTGTTCTTATTTCATCTTAATCAATTTGATCCTAAATTTCAACTAATCACAAAAACAGTTTATTTAACGTGTTTGGTGGGTTATATAGTTGTCGTAGTGGTTTCCCTACGATATTCCAAACATGTTTTGTTGCCAAACCATAGCAGGAATTAGCTCAGGAATAAACTCAGAGTTACAAAACGAGCCATGGAACGTGCAATGCTGAACGTGAGCCTTCGAGACCACATAACTAACCAACAAATCAGGCAAAGATCAGGAGTTCAAGACGTCATCGAAAGCACCACGACGCTTAGGTGGAACTGGGCAGGGCACTTAGCCAGAACACAAGATGGACGGTGGACAAGACGTATTATGGAATGGAGGCCCAGAAACTATAAAAAAAACCGAGGACGACCACCGACTAGATGGACCAATGATATAAAACGTGTAGCGGAAAGCTTACTACAAGTGGCCCAGTATAGAGAACACTGGAAACAACTGAGGGAGGCCTATGTCCACCAGTAGACGCGATTGGCTGATTGATGATGATGATAGCAGGAATTACAACCTCGGGAAGATATTGCTGCACAATTCTTGAAATATTGCTTGGTCTTACCATACACTTTGACCACTAAGAAGTCTCAAGAGTTAACGCAAGTGTTCGTTTCTTCATCAGATAACAACACTAGCTCCTTGGTCTTGGAGACAGTTTTTTGAAGCACTAGATTCTTGTTTTAGCTTTTTAGTGCGACTAAAAATTTCTTTTGAGGGATTAAGTTCCATGTTCTGAACTCTTGATGGTCCTGCTTCAGGTTCAAAATCTTCTTCTTATAAATCTGTCGCCACCTTTTTTCCCGGTTCGACATTCATTTTTGTTTTCTTTTTCTTTTGTCTCTGAGTATCAGAGTGTCTTCAAAAGTTCTTTAAAAGTGTTATCAATCCCTTCCACGCAAACAGAACTTGACAAGGTCGTTTGTGTTCCAGATTGTCTGGTATTATCATTGTCTGAGTTCTGTAGCATCCTTAGGGCTTTGGTGCGATCCAAAGGCAGGGTGCCACATTTTTTAAACCCTGATTAGGCATTTTCTTCTGAAAGACTGTATCTACCAGTTTCTTTAATAGTCTAGGAAACTTGTCTTTAGCTACTGTGGATTCATTCTTGCCTGGTTCTGTTTTCCATTCCTCAACTATTTTGCGCCACATAATCTTCATGGATCTAAAGAATGCCACATCGAGGGGCTGAGTAAGGTAAGTGGAATTACTTGGTAAAAATATAAACTTGATCTTTTTTTCTTGGCACAATTGGATTAAATCGATTGACAAGTGAGACGACAAGTTGTCCACAATCAAGTATTTTTTCTGTTATAAAACATAATGAGCATGTTGATTCCATTGCTAAAGCTGCAATAACCTCGACAGCTGAAATTTTAGCAGATTAGAGAATTTTTGTTCCTGATACTTTTCTCATTTCTAAAAGAAATCCAGATCGTTGGAATGCTTCCTGGCAAACTTTTTGCAACCACTCAACAACACAATACGTGTATATACAACCACACATCCCTAATTCCAGATGGTTTAAGAATTTCAATACCGCCCCTAAATATACAACAACTTTAATAAGATTGAGATTTGGCCATGCTTGTTATCCTGCTTAACTTGCACAAATCAAAATATACAATTCAGACTTATGCGAAACTTGTCAAGAACAAGGAGATCTTAACCACATCTTTTTTAAGTGTTCCAAATATCTTCAGCATTCCGGAACTCTTTTAAACAACTTGCAAACTCCATTTCAAATAAATAACCTGTTGGCTACTAATAATAAAAAAAGTCTATGATTGTCTGATTAAATTTATACATAGTGCAAATGTGTGTAAAAAAGGAACATTTTAATTCCCGAGAGAGAAAATATATCTTCTCTCTCTTACTCATTACCTTACATATGTAATGTTTTCACAGATTCATTCTCATGCAAATTTCTAACGCCGACCATGCGTATAGAAGTATAACTTCAAAAATAGTATTTTTTCCCTTCTAGTTTCTTAAAAAAGGGAATTGCAGTGGATTAAACCTAGTCACTGAAACAAAAACTATTAAACCAATCTGATTTGATACGATTAAAACGAGAGTTTTTTGGACCTCCTTCCTTCCAATTGTCCGAAAAATTTGAGCGTCTCCACTAGCTGCAAACATTACGGCAGAAGACGCTTTTGATGAGTTGACAACTTCCTACCTACTCTGGGTACTTGCAATCACGTCTAAAAATAAATTTAAGTTTTCCTGGGTCGTCACTAAGTGATTTAGTGACAATTGTTGGTGCTGTAAGTAGCTAATACTTGAAGGCTACTGGTTGAGTTAGTTCTAAATGCGCCAAAGGCAATTCTTAATGATGTTGTTTTGAATTGAGTTTACTTTTGTTCCGACGTTTTTTTATATTTTGAGTAGTTACTCGTGTCTGGTCTATTTGTAATAGTGTTTCGTTTAGTTTTACAGTAGTTTTATCTTTGGTCTGTATCTCTTTTAGAAGGCCCATGTGAGCTTATTGGGCTTTGCATCTTGTCACCTTAATTCTTGTGCGAATATTTGATACTACTGGATTGTGGTCGGTGTTGGCAACAGTACTGAGATATGTTTGTGCTTTGTGATGGAATTACGAAATCTGATTAATTAAAATTTATAGTCTATTTAATTCCCTATTATTTTGCCTTTTGTGTGCAATAGAGAAGTCCAGCTGTACATAACACACGTGCAGGTAACGTAACTCAAGTATTTAGTTTAGTTTAGAACATATAGAAATAATAAATTCAACAAATTTGCTTAATAGGAGACATAATATGCGTAAAAAATGTCCCAAAGTTACCCCTTTTAAATCACCTTTAAATACAAATAAAAACAAAGAAAAACTTCAACAAATTTATTATTGTCAATGGATCTATTAAAATATGTATCACCTTTCAACTTGCCTTATCGTTTCATAAATAACAATCAATAATTTCTTAAGTTTCTATGTTCAGTGGTTGACCTGGAATGTACAATAAACGTTAATAAAAAAATAATTATAACAATTTACTCTAAAAACGAAAAAAATTAGTCCTTTTGGCGGACTTTTTCTTGCTCTTAGCCTTATTTTTAGTCTGACCTGAGGGTGCGGGATACTTGAATATCAATACTAATTGTACTATGCACAACAGCAAACCGATGATGTTTTGTACCTGAAACATAAAATATATTTTAGAAGAATATCAATTTACTCGCTATATTAACTCATAAACTCATACTAATAAAACTTAAGTTGTGAAAATGTATCTACACTAGTGTTGGGTACGTTATGAGTAACCTTCTCCGGCGTGAATGTGACCGGTCGTGAATGTGAGCGATCAATTGTGAGCGTGGCTTACGTTTACTTGAGATTGGACGGTCTCCCGCCCATTACATCTGTTGCGGCGGTTTCAGTTGCGGAACTTACCGAGCACGGTCATATTATGCATATTTGAGGTTTTGAACCTTCGACAGATTGCATGAGGTGCATTATTGCCACATTGTCAGAATGATACAAATTTCTCAAACATAAAAATGCAAAAAGGGCGTAAATTTTTAATTAATAAAATTTAAAGGAGTTATTCAAAGATAATGCGATTTTATTTTAAATTAAAGGCAAAAACTGGGGTCTAGGTCCACTGGACCTATGTCCGACTAATGAACGGTTAATAGTTATAAAAAGTGGGTTGCTTCACTTGTTTTGTTACAAAATATGGTATTCCTAGCAATGGCCTGACGACTAGACAAAATTTAAAATAACGACCATACATAAAAAAGACAGGTTACATAAATGCGACACCTATAGTACCATCTATCTCATCTGACATGTCAGCAAAATAAGGCTACACATAATCAATGAAAAACTGAAAACTTTCCTACAAAGAGAAATACCACAAGAGCAGACTCGATTTATCAAACGTAGAGGTTCTACAGAACATATTCTGAACATAAGACAAATAAAAGAAAAATCTAGGGAATTCAATATCCCACTATACACTTTTGTTTCATAGATTATTGCAAAACGTTTGACAGTGTCAAATGGCAACACTAATAGCAGATACCAAAATGTTAAAAAAGTAAATAATGTTAAAGTGATTGACATACTCTCAAAGGAATTCCATCCAGAACAAGGTGTCAGACAAGGTCGTATACTGTCTCCACAATTATTTAACATATATGGGGAGCATATTATGAGAAGAGCGTTTGAAGGATGAGAAAAGGGCATCTCAATAAATGGCCGAAAAATAAACAATCTACGTTTTGCAGACGACACAGCCTTTCTGGCAAATAGTCAAGAAGAGTGAATTGAAGAATAATTTACTTTCAAAATAACTTGTAAACCCGCACTACTAGCCACTACGCTGGTAAACTTTTGAAAATTAAATGGTAAAGTGTCAATATTTATGCAATGATATTTATGCAATCATACTAAAAAACATGTGCGAGAAATGTTTTAATAAATATTAATGAGATATATATTAAATATGTAAATAAATATAATACACATATCTGTATTGTTTTTTTTTTGTTTTTCTCCATATATTGGACAATATTACGCATTCAAAATCTGTTTAATTATTTACTTATAAAATACATTTATTTATGTTGTAACATTAAAATAATAAGGAAAATATTTTAAAAAATCCGCTAGTAATTAAATAGTTAATCATAGGTCAATAGTTAACCATTGGACCTACCTAGACTAACGGCGTTCGGGCAGGTAGCGCGTCTAATGAAGGGCTAATATATATATATATATATATATATATATATATATATATATATATAAATATATATATATATATATATATATATTATATATATATATAACCTGTATTTCTAATGAATTTATAAACGATATATAGAGGAAGAAACATTTTATGACCAAGTGGTAAAAAACGAAAACTTTTTTTACTGGTTTTCATATTTAAGACGACAAATATTGCTAGCCAACAAGATATCGAAGCGTGTTTTAAATTATTTTATTGTAAACAAAAAGAGTATGTTTATAATATGTTAAACTTTAATTAATACATAACTTTTCGATTAGTTGAAACGAAATTTTCGTTTTTTTACGTATTTTTAATTCATTGGTGTTGCGTTCTGCACATACGATGACCTCAGTATATAAATTGGGGTCATCCTGAAGGGGGAGAGAAGATCTTCTGTTCAATCTAGAACTCGCTGGTTTCCCCCTTTCGAAATAAGTATGTATATTCAAATAAAAGAAGAGAAATGAAAGGCAGCGGAATGTATAAAACTCTATTTTAAAAAGCTGTAAAATTAAACATAAATATACATAACCAATATACCATTATAATTAAAGAAGAATATACAAACTTAAAATTACGCAATACGAAACGACATACCAAAAGACAACCATAAACCAACCAAAACAAAAATGTCGATTCTATAAAAAACCACTGACAAAACAAAAGACAAAACCTACCATAGCCGCAAACATACTATAGATAAAAGATAAAAAACAAATTAATATTATTACAAAAAAAAATACATAAAAATATGGATATATATGTCAATGGTATAAAAACCTGAAATAATGCGGTGCATACAAATAATTAATACAAAGAATAAATCGGTGTTAACAAAAAAAAAACACAATAGACAATACACTAAATAAACCGAAACAAAATGCAAAATGTCTAATTGAAAAAGTTTAATCGCGATCGCGGCACAAATGCGATGAAGTTCCAAACAAATATCAAAAATAAATATACCAAGTGCACGTACTTGATATATGCAGCAACAAATTAATATGGTGTATTGTTCCTTACCCCATGAAAAAAGATAGCCCCAACGATATCGCAAATTATGTCTTCAGCGACACTTCAACTACCAAAGTTTGTGATTTGCGTCTTTTTTCGTCAAAACACCGGTATGGGAGTCAGGTACTCTTCGTCTTCACATACACATGTTCATCGTTTGAGAGATACTTTTCGACTATTTTTGTGTACGGAATGCAAACCCTTATTTTACACACATGTGGTGATATTTGGCAGATACCTTCTCGAAAATTTATTTCTTAAAATAGCTGCATTATTTCGTATAGGAAAATCTGGTTTAAATATACTATATACGAGGGGAATCGAAACTAACAAAAAGACTGTTCTTAATAAATGTTTTATGTATCGTTGCGAAACTGCAACAATTGGTTATAAACAAACTACTGTTACTATACTACTCTCCAAAATTAACGCACCACCTAAAATGGACCATGATTTTAAAACTACATTCTTCTGAAACCCTTAATTGGTTTTCCATGATTTATTTTTTCACATTGTAGAAAATTTCGTACTACAATATCACGAGTCATTCAACGTTTTCGAGAAACAAACGACGATACGAGACGGCGTGGACAAGGAAAAGGAAGACTTACAACACCACGACAAGATCAATTTATCAGGCTTCGTGCTATAAGAGAACGTTTTCTCACAATGAGACATTTACAAATACAAATCGAAAATTGTCATAATATTTAAACTAGTAGAAACACTATACAAAGGCGTCTCGCTGAACAAGATCTGCATATAAGGAACCAGTCAGAGCACCAGCTTTAAACGTAAATTATTGTAGAAGTAGATTATAATTTGCCAGAGAGTACCTTCGCTTGTTGATGACTGGGAGCACGTGTTATTCACTGATGAATCGAGGTATTGCTTATATAGCTCAGATAGACGTGTGATAGTTATTCTACGGCCAAGAGAACGCTATGCACAGTGTAATATAAGACCTATTACTTTATTCAATGGAGAATCTGTAATGGTTTGGGGAGGAATATCTCTTAACAGCGCGAACGGACCTTGTTTTACAAAGAGGTTTCTTAACAAGTGAAAGGTATATTACAGACCTTTCGTCTAACCATGTAGTTCCATTTGCTCCGTACATAGGAAATAATTTTCTTTTAATGCATGATAACGCTCGACCACCTATTGCACGTGTGGTTCGTGAATATTTGGTCGAGGTTGACATACAAACCAGGAACTGGCCAAACTGCAGCCCTGATCTCAATCGCATAGAGAATTTGTGGGATATTATTGATCGTCAACTCAGGAGCCGACAAATACCACCAGTCTTTCTTGACGACATAGAAGTTATGGTGAGAGAGGCTTGGAATGCAATTGATCAAGACCAAATACGCCGCTTGATTTTAAGTATACCTCGTCGCTGTGAAGAAGTAATTAGATGTAGAGGAGGAAATACTCGTTATTAAGTATTTTTGGGAAAGGGGAATTGTTAAAGATTATTTAGGTTATATTTTCTGAGTCTTTATTTGTATTAAATGTCAATAAAGTTTATGTAAGCAAGGTTTTCTTTGCTTTAAATGTTAATAAAAACTTGTTACATTTAAAGTTCTTTATAATTTTTGATAAAAGAGATATCGAGATAATTTTTGTACGAAAATCTTAAGAAAGAATAAATCTATCTCAAAATATTAATAATATGTAGTTTATTTATGATATTATACGTTTATTTCTAATAAATTTCACAAGGTGTTGCAAAAAGCGATGAAAAAACACAACTTTATTTTTACACCCCGTATACGGGTAAAACGTTGATATTTTTTAGAAAACATTAATACATTGATTTACTAGAAATAGACTTATAATATGAAAAAAACATTATCAAAATCCAATCATTCGTTTAAAAGAAAAAAGCTTCAAACTTATGGTACATTTAAGGTGGTGCGTTAATTTTGGGCAGTAGTGTATATCTTTTTAAAGACGTAAAGCATTGAAAACCAAAGTAAAATAGGTACATAGAAAAACATTACCCATGTTTTATATCAGATATATCACTGTAGAGAAAAATTAGGTCAATGTTTAAAAATGCACTACCTTTTATGCTAAGCTGGTCCCACGCCTGAATAAAAATATCCAAAATCTCTATAAAAAACTTTGTTCCCGGGACTTTGGCCACGTTTTGAACATGTCGTCTCACTGTGTGATGTTCTAAAAATACTTTTTTATAGTTATCAAATGCTTTATACCAAACACATCTTGACCATCATTGTCTTTATAGTCGCTAATCATTTCTTGACAAGGAATCCTTTACAAATTGTTCTCAAAACTACCTAGAAGTCACCAGTAACTAACAGGGGTTAGGTATGACTGTACTTTATTGATAACTGGATGTCTAATGTTAATAAAATTCAGAAATCACATATTCCTTATTAAAATTTAATGTTACCTAGTGAAAATTCGACTGAAGTATTCAAAGCTGAAATACAGTAGTATGAGATACCCTGAAAAATATGAACTTGTGCATCTGATCATTCAGGGAAAGATCCAAGGTAAATGTGATCCTGGTAGAAGATCATCATGGATGAAAAATCTAAGAGAATGGTGCAGAAACATAGTAGATCTTTACTTAGAGCTGCTATCAATAAAGTCAAGATAGCAAATATTGTAGCCAACATATTATTCAACAATTGATAATGGTCATCGAGCCAGAAGTGATGCCCTATTTTGACATATTTTCTTTTCTTCCCAGAACACTTTTTACCTGCATGATGCTGTATAACAAGACTTTATTTTAACATAAATACTATAAAGATGTGTTTAATTAGTAAGATACTTACCACCATAAATTCATTTTTTAAAATTATACCATATATTAACCAGAGTGCTGTGACAATGGTTCCCATAAAAGTCAATGGAAATGGTATGGAAGAAGCATCACCTTTGTCAATAATGCCTTTCTGCAAAGAGATTAAAAAACATTAAATCGAGAAGTCCACAAAAATGTATGTGTTGTAGATTAATAAAATAAAACATATAAAAAATAAACAAAAACATCCCATGATCACTAATAAACATTGTTACTAGTGGGAAAAGTAACCTGAATGATAAATTTCTTTTATGCTGCCAATAACAAAATTATAATTGCAATCTCTACATGTTTTATGAATAAATTTTTTAAAAGATACATTCATAAAAATATACTTACTACATCTAACAGTGGAGCTCCAATTAATGCTAGCATTAAAATTGTCACCACCAAACTGTATCTATATTCAAGTAATGCTGGATCTTCCACAATAGCATATCCCATAAATACAGCAACAAGTGCCACTCCTACACTGCCTGGTTTCAATACTTCGTTATATTTATCAGCAGAATAATAGTAGTAAAATGCAAGATATAGTACATTCAATAGAATGGCAGCAACATTGACTTGGAGCATAGCAGCATCATTCATCAAAAGTGCTTGTTTTAGCATTAATATACCACTGAAATTTAAAAATAAAAGTTTTATACATTGTTTTCATTTAATTATTAATTGATTGTTTCAAAAGTAGTTTTAATGGAAAGTAGACAGTAGGACGAGATTTTATAGATAAAAAAAACAATGCAGTATAGTTATAGAGTACTACCCAATTCCTATTATCCTCACCTCCAAGAAGTGTGATCTTGATCACACAGGTAAACCCCGGTCAACTTGAGCAACCCTATTGGAGATTGGGTAACCAGCCCCAGTGGAAGGTACGGTCAGGGCAGACGAGGAAGGGAAAAAGCATAGCTTGTTCAGAAGCTATAGCCAGCACCCCTGGCACTGGACTCGGGTGTAATAGGCCGATAACCTATTCACCTTAAACTCCGCTATCACGAATGCTACGAACAATGAACTAATCGGACGAGACCAACGGACAACGACCAAAGCTACAGAATAAGGACTTAATGATGGATTTGTGACTGGGAATCAGAAATGTCCAAACCATGCTGCAGGTAGGCAAAATGCAAAGTATTGCATATGAACTATTGAAGTATGAAGTAGACACAACAGTCCTCCAAGAAATCATTGCAAAATTGTCATAATAAGCTGCAACAAAAGGGTATTACGTGAAAAAGTTATAGAACTGAAACGAGAAACTACTACATTTGGTCTAATATAAATGAAAGCAAAACAAAATATATGGAGTGTACAAAATCGAATCAACATCTGGAGGTAGACAACCATACCTACAAAAATCCCTCCACTTTTCAATAATAAATGACAACATCAGTCAAGAAAATACACTCTGGGTGAACTAATGCAGAGTGCAGATATTGTTAGATTTGTAAAGTCACAAAGACTAAACTGGCTTGGTCACCTAGAAAGAATGCCAGATAATCGAGCTGTAAAAGTAGTCCAGAGATGGAAGTTTCCAAGGAAACAGAACAAGAGGAAGGCACTGTAAAAGATGGATAGACAACATAGAGAGGGATCTTAAAACCATGAACATCAGGCAGTGGCGAAGGAAAGTATCCGAGAGGACAGAATGGAAGAACATTGTTAAGCAGGCCAAGACTCACACAGGGTTGTAGTGCCATTAGAAGAAGTAGAAGTACATTATAGAGTGGCTTCAAATACATAAAAATGTAAGGTGTTACAGATATGTATGTTGTAGGGGTGAAAATGTATGCCAAAAGAAATGATTAAATTGGGGGCCTGAATGATAAAATACATGTACAAAACATACAGAATAAGTGCTGATGAAATATGCATTGTTAGAAGCTGGCATCAGTACTACGAAATAATCAAGATAAACCACAACAGTTAAGTTGTATTTTTAATAAAGATTAATTGTTTTAAATCTTTCTTGGATGAAATCCAGGTACATCTTTTATATTCAGTTATTTATAGGGAAATCAAGTGAATCATAGATTTAAATAAGGAGTTTCAGAGAAATATTGTGGACACAATTTTTAATGACATACACCGCAATTTGTTCTTTTAAGCATCTAACAAGTCTAAAATTCTAGTTCAGTTAAACATACTGTTCTAAAATATTAGAAAATTGTACAATTCTAGCAGTTCTAGCCCATTATTTTTCTGTCCTATGGTATATACAAATGAGAGATTAAATAAGCATATTATGATCTTCTTTTTCATCAATGTACTGGTTTGATTTACACTTTGTTGACCCTCTGGATCCTAAAAACTTCCTCATTGATTTTTGTCAATACAGGACAGGAACTTGGATCTTTTTATGGGTAGTTAAAATCTTTATCAATTGCTATCTGACCACAAAATAGATTTGATTTTTGTATTATTTTAAATAAATTATGTAAGACTCTTAATTTTCAACACTTGAAAGAAACAATCACAATATACATTGCATTATCTTTAAAATAACAACAAAATAGCCACTTAAACATGACATCACAAGCAGTGAGGATAAATGAATAATGGAAATACTCTTGAAAAACTTTTTGCTAATACATTGATACATAATCTAGTTTTAAAAAATATACTTACATTGTTATACCCCCAATAAAAGGGACAGCTTGAATTCCAGCTGTAGATTTCTTTTTATAAATGTCCTTGCATATAAACGCCCCAGAAAAGAACTGGGCAATGGTGACAATACTTGCCGTTTGTCCCACTATATTTTTGTTAGGGCTGCAGAACATTGGATAAGGCTTCCATCATGAAGGGTGATTAGTGGAATGATAGTTTTTGTCTGATTATTCAAGCATATAAACAAGGACAAATTTTATAATCTTCACGTTTAAATTAAAATGAAAACTGATACTTAAAAACACTTCAAATTTTGAAAATATTTAAATGAAATTAGTGAAATGATGTCAGGTGTTGATTAGTCCTAGGCCACTCAATTTATGTATCTCTTTTATTATATCAGTGATTGTACAAAAACCACAATTCATTAAACAAGTTTTTTACAGACTCGTTATTATTAATAAATATGCTTCAAATTATAAAAGATAACGGCAAGTTAGATGAATTTATTTTAAAAATATATTTATCCTTTATTAAAAAGAGAAGAGAATTGGCCTTCATCATAAATTGTTAGGATAATAAGTCAGTGGCATGACAAATAGGTAAATCGAACAAAATAATTTATTAGTTATTTTGAATACATATTGACGATAAAATATAAATTTCAGATGATGTAATGAATAGATCTGCAGTTTACTAAAATGGACATTGTCTCACTAGATTTTGAATTTGGGCCAAAATATGAGAAATTCTTGTTAGGTAAGTTCGGATAGTTTGAAATTTGTTATATTATTTGATTCTTTTTGTCCAAGTTCCTACGCTAGAAGGGAACATATCCCCTGGAGGGCAATGTAATGATTATTTTAATTTATTTAAAGTCTTATATCGGTAACACTAAAACACAATTATTAATTTATTACATGTATTTACCTAACCGTACAAAATTTATATTTTCGAGTGACTTCTAAAATCTAATATATCATAGAATTTTCTAGATACCGTTAAGACACCTGCAGCTCAAATCGTCGACCGAGTATTTCGATCAGGGCATAGCAAGGCTGGCGTTATACTGTTCTGGATTGAGAGATCAGTGAGAGTCAGTCGATAGAAATACCGGGAATGTATGTCACAAAAGAAACGATTTCTTTCAGAATTGTTTTAGCTATCCTTAGTAAACGCATCGGGTTGGCTGTGGGTAGGTCCTCATCGAGGACATGTAACGTTGTGAATGAGATTGGAAAACCACAGAAAACCAATTTCCCCCTGCCCTTTGTTTATTGACTCAACATTGAAAGAGTGTTTTGAAGACGCTCACTTTCCAACATGTGAACGGCGTCATTCCTTTTTAGGAAGACGTTGAAAGGGATCATAGACATGAAGTAAATTAGCGACTCCATATCTGAGGTGAGTTGATGTATTGGTGAGGTGAATTAATGTTGAGGAGTAGTTACAGTTGTTTGATGTAGACTAGTTGGTAAAACTTTTCTTATAGGATATCCGGGAGAAGAGGCAGTGTGATTATTTCTACAGCTTGGACAAATTGAAAGGCATGCAAGCGGTTTCTGTTGTTGTCCGCAGTTGGGACAAATATGTGTTTTTTTGGGAATATTCGGTATTTAGATGTTCGCTTTGGCAACATCTTGATTGATACTTTAGACGCACATGAATTACATTGTTTGACTTAAGGAACTCGCACTGTAATTTTTCTCAGGTAATCGCGTACAAAATTGGTTTCAATTGCTGTAGCAGGCAATTATGAGAGTCTGGGGGTATTGGTGACTACATTGTCACCAGTGGTATTGCGAAGTTTTGATTGGAGTTAGTGAACATTGATGGATTGGAATGTATTAATGTTGGCTTTTGTGTTTGACGAGTAAACTTTTAGAAAGGCGATATTTCTTAAAAGGAGCTATTTAGATTTTATTTTGGGAGTCTATTTTCTGGATTGATAGTGTAGTGTTAAATTTAACATTGAAGTTGGTTGGGATAGAGACTGGATTGTAGGGAATCGTTTTGTTTAGTCGGATTTTGGGCTGTAGTCGGTTTCTTACTCGAATTAATTGAAGACATAGATGTTATTGTCATCAGTGTAGGATCTAAGATGTTTTTTTAGAGCTCGAATCCTGATTGGATTTTTAGTGTGCAGGTGAACAGATTTTTCGGATGAATTGACTTTAATTTAAGAGAGTCGAAATTGGATCAAAGAAGGTCGTGGTTTTTAAAGATTTGGTTGAATTTATATAAGTTATAATGTATGAGCTTGTACTTAAGGGTGGTGAAATTATCGAGTAGGGTTGAGATATGGATTTTGTGGTCGGATCGGCTGGTGATAGTCAGATGCTTGTCCCCTGTGTGAACTCTATACTCTTTCACATGTAAAGATACGTCCATAATAAATATATTTATCGTCTTTTGCAAAATCTCTGTTCCTCCCTCGTTGATTTATGACATGCAAAATATTAATAAAATAATTCTGATGCCTTTTCAATGTAATCAAATAAACTAATTAAAGTTTTGTATTTAAATTTATGTGTTATATTGCATTTAAATTTAAATATTTAAATCTAAATTTAAATAAAGTATTTAAAATTTAAATAAAACACTTTTACTACGAAACTATCTGTGTATCCTACAAAACCAAATCTCAAGAGTTTTTATAATTTGTAAAAATAAATTTGAAATAGAATTTAAAACAGAAATTTGTAGAAATCTTTGTGTAATAATGTACATGATTTAAATCGTTTCGTGGTTCATTCTTCAACCTTAAATAATTACTATTTATTTAAAAATATAGTTACAAAATCATATTCATATTAAAAAAAAAATTACCAATGACGCCACTGGAAAAAAATTGCACATGGAGACTGGAAATAGATAAAATCAGTGAACTTATTAAATACATTGAATGTGTTTATTGGTTTATTAAATGTCATTATACCAATTAATGAAAATGAAAAAATTATATCAGTCTAGTTTTAAAATATTTATAACCGTTATGTGAATGTTTACTATTATTTTAACAGCGTTAAATTTATTATTTTTGTTGTAAAAAATTTTTATTATGGGGCAATTGTAAAAAACGAATTACAATTACAGTTATTTATGTTTCAAAGAGATTTCATATTTTAGAGATATGAATCGACCTTCACAATTCATCATAACGGCTTTATAGGATTATAGATATGCATCAAAAAGTTAACACTTGTTTACTTTTGAGTTTCTTTTTCAGATAAATTTTAAGTTTACATTTAGATCAATATGTTGACAAAAATTGAAATAAATCAAGTTCTTGTAGGTTATAGCAATTTTGAACTCTGAAATTAAAACAGTAAATAACTTATAATTGGTTTAAAGCTATATATTACATTAAACTTCCTTATATTTATTTTTTCGTATTCCTAGCCCACAGGTTTACGTTTCCAAGAAAAAACAGTTTTGATTTCAACCGATTTATAATCGCACTGTGTGCGTTTGGCATTACGGTATTCAAGGCTACAGGATGGCTTAGCAAAGAATATAGACGCTTAAGCGTCTATATTCTTTGGCTTTAGGCTTTAACTGTCATGTAAAGGTATGTGCTGTGGATTTATGTGCTATTCACAGTACACTAGCACCTAGCAGTGCCAGTCCCACGTTAAAGAGTAAAACAACGATTGGTGCATAGGCTAGTGCCAGGGTGCGAAACTATATAAATACATGGCGACAAGAATTCTATTATGTATATTTTTCATATACTATTTGTTTTATCATTTTTGTTTAATTTTTTTATTAGTTATATTTAGTTAATTACTTCTATTTTGAATTTTATGGATATTCAAAGTTTTCCATTTGTTCCATCAGCTAATGCGTTGGTAAGTTTTTCTTGAACAAAAATGATAAAATGTTCATTAAAGGTTAATATTTTTATATGAGTAAGGATGCTGTTAAATTACAAGGTAATGAAACTGCACAAAGGTTTATTCAAAATGCCTACAATTTTTTTAATTATTTGCCGAATGAAAACTCTATTAAGGTAAGTTGATCAATAAAATGTATTCATCGAATTAGGTAAATGTGATGATATTCTTAATAACAAAAACATGTTCTTAATAACAAAAACATTCCAGTTAATATCCAAATGTCTGAAAGTCTCAGAAAAAAGTGTGCGTAAATATAAAGTGGGCCTAATACAACCCTCACTTTAAAGAAGAAAAGTCGCAAAAGAAAATTAAAGCCACTTCTAGTCTGTCAAAAAGTAACTAACTTCGCAAAAAAAATAATTACTAAATTCACTAGACAGTTCGGACTGAGATTAGCGAACCGAGTATACATAGTAACTTTACGTGACTGGTGGTTGTGCATAAACCATAAAGTGAAAACAACAACGCGCAATAACATGGAGGTAAGATGGTGCCTTACCTCCATGCGCAGAAACGAGACTAGCAGTGCCACCAAGCGGATGGGTGCATAAATAAAAACGTGCGTGGACTTTGGTATCCTTGTTACTAATCTAGGTTTAAATTATCTGTGATGTTATTGTCATATGTCGTATATGTTTCATATGTCATGTCAAACGTCATTTTACATGTTGACAAAATAATCGGGATATTCGTATCTGTATCAATAGTATTGCAAGTAAAATAAATTATTTCTTGATTCTACCAACGGGTGAATTTACCTTTCTTTCCTTAGTTATTTAAGACGTCGAAATTAAAGATGTCTAAAGTAGGATGTTCTTCAACATCAACCCAACAATTCGAGGGCGAAGCACCCTCCTCTGTGGCACAAAAGATGTGGGAAATGTCTAATGCGGTAGAAGTTGTTAGTTCAGTGGATGAAATATATCGGTATGATAAAAAACAGCAACAAGATATACTAGTTGCTAAACCATGGGAAAAAGAGTAAGTTTCAGCTATCTGCTTTTTTTTGCTATTGTCTAATTTTTACATTTTAGTCCACATTTTTTCAAAGACATCAAAATTTCCGCATTAGCTCTGTTAAAAATGGTCATGCATGCAAGGTCCGGAGGAACCCTCGAGGTAATGGGTTTAATATTAGGTAAAGTAGATGGAAATACAATGTTTGTCATGGACTCTTTTGCCTTGCCAGTAGAAGGTACAGAAACTCGTGTTAATGCTCAGGCTCAAGCTTATGAGTATATGAGTTCTTACATTGAAGCAGCAAAGTTGGTAAGTAGTTGAACATACATTTGTTAGATACATTACATAGCAACTATGTAAAGTAACTATGTAATCTGTAAACTATGTAATGTAAAAAATAATAAATATCTCCAGAAGTTATCAAAACCCTCAAAAGCTAGTACAGAAAAATGGAGAGGGAACATGTAGATTTACTAATAGCATTCAGTATTGCAATTTTGGTAGTTTGTTTTTAAGTTATTAAAATTTTAGGTTGGTAGACAAGAAATGCAATAGGCTGGTACCACAGCCACCCTGGCTATGGTTGCTGGTTATCTGGAATAGATGTAAGCACTCAAATGTTAAACCAAAACTTCCAGGAACCTTTTGTTGCTATAGTTATTGACCCTGTTCGCACAATCTCAGCTGGAAAAGTATGTCTAGGAGCTTTTAGAACTTACCCAAAGGTTTGTATTTGAAAGTAAAATTTGTGCTAGGCCCTTTTTTAAATTTTTTTTGAGGAGAGAGTGAGATATTCTCGTACTATCTTGGTCTGTTGGATCTAACAGAATCCTTCCACCCTAGCAAAAAGAAAAAAGTGTTAAGTCTACATTTTTCAGCTATAAAATAGTGATTAAATGTTTTGAATATATCTTAGTAGCAACCTTTTGCGTTTTTATACAAAATTCATGTATATATTAGAAATATATAAATAAATATTATTTCCTAGGGCTACAAACCTGCAAATGAGGAGCCTTCAGAATACCAGACTATTCCTTTAAATAAAATAGAAGATTTTGGTGTGCATTGCAAGCAGTACTACTCATTAGAGGTATCTTATTTTAAGTCAGCTTTAGATAGGAGGTTATTGGATTCTCTTTGGAACAAATACTGGGTTAATACTCTTAGCTCTTCTAGTTTACTAACTAATGCAGATTATACTACAGGGCAAATATTTGATTTGTCAGAAAAATTGGAACAATCGGAAGCAGCAATTGGTAAGTATTTTTTTTTTCAAGAGAATGGAAAAATAACTGTCTTGAACAATAAAATTTTAAGGATCATGATAGAAATATGTCAAAAACTTGTCAATTTTCTTAGCATATTTCCTCTACCTGTGAGTTATTAATGGCATTCTCATTTTCATCACAGACACTTTAAGCTTAAAGATAGGTTTTTGCTAATCTAGAATAAGCCAGGAAATAATAATATGGTTATGTATCTTGTGGAAAATAAAAAAATTTGTGAAAAATTGGAGCTTAAAGACTTTTTAATGCTTCTTTTGCAGTTTCTAGCTTTATCTCTGAAATTTTATTTTCTAGAAAGCATTATTAATTTTCATGGATTTCTTTTTTGATTTTGAAGTTTTTATCTGTATGGTGGCCAAATAAAAATTCTCCTGTGCCATTGGATTTAAGCAAAAGGGATTTAATTCTTCGTCTTTATATATGATATAAACCTATTGTTGAAATTTCCTCATATAACTACTTTATTTTTTGAAATTATTAGTACCGTTCACATCATAAAAACTGGTACAACTCTTATAATCAAAAATCATGTTTTTTAAGTTGTGTACTTTGATCTTGTCACATGTGTCATTCTAATTTCTAGGGCACTGTTGCCAGTTCAACGAAAATATTATATAAAACTAGCTAGAAGCAGGACTGTGGGACAGACTGATAGTTTTGAGTATACTGAAAACTAAAACATTATCGAGTATTCTCTATCAGTCAGTCACTTTAAATTTGTTTAAACATGCATTTAAGGGGGAAAACAGGGATTTAAAAATCCCTGTTTTCTATGAGGATATCTTTTATCTTGCATTGGTAGGCATAACTAAATTAATAGTTATTTATAATAGATCAGAAAAGCATATTCTAATGCTAAAAATGACATTAATGAGATTGCGAGAATGAAACACAGTCGGTGGATATGATACTCAGAAAAATTTAGCTTTAAATAGCACACAATTCTGATAAGTAATAAAATGTTTAAAATCTTGTTTTTTAGGGCGTTGTGGTTGTATTGTAACTGGAGAAAAACGAACCGAAGACAAACTATTAAAAGCCACCAAGGATAGTTGTAAAACCACCATAGAAATCATACATGGACTGATGGCTCAAATGGTTAAAGATAGATTGTTTAATAGTGTGACTCCCAGTAACCGTATACAGTAAAAATATTAGATATTTTCGTGGAAGAGTTGAAGTATTTTTTGTTTTGTTCATTGTCATTTAAAAGTATAAACGACATGCTTTTTCATCTTTTGAAAACTTGAAATAAATTATTAGTTTAATAAATTTTTAAATTTAATTTATCTGGCATATAATTTATTTCCTTAAATCTCTATTCGATCTCATGGAACAATGTATATTATTAGAAATCCATAGAGTAAGTGGAAAATCTGTTCATCTGTTTTATTTTATATAAGCTTCTGGACATACTGCTATACAACAGAATATCCTCATCTACTTGAAATAATCCCTATAGAATGAGAAGGGTTATGTTCAAAATGCTAACCACATTATAGCTCTTACAACGTAATTTCATTTCAGTTTCAAAGAAAGCAAAAAACTTTTGTTATCTTAGCAGGATTTATGAGCTGTCTACGGTAATGTCTAGGGTTAAGGTGTTATATACAAGCTTCTGCACAAAGTTCCGCGCTGAAGGATCGTCTCTCGTATCATAATATGCTCTCGAAAAGAACATTCTAAGACCTGGTAAATTTCAAAGGTAAAATAAAGAATTTGAGTAAAGGAATTTCCTCACGGTTCTGTTTTGGCACCCATTTTGTTTAACCTGTAGAACTAGGAAGTTCAGATACACAGACGACTGAACAATAGCCGCCCAACACCAAAACTTAGACTGCAGCCAAATGCAAAAAAGACAGAAGTTGTTACTGATCTGAAATCCTCCAAAAACTTAAATATTTATTAGTGTTAAATATTTTTAAATATTAGTATTAAATATTTTTAGTGTGACCAACTCAATTCAATCGAATTCGGGACAAGGCTAAAAAAAATACCCGAAATCCGAGACTTTTTAATGAAAATCGGGCAATTTTTTTTTTTAAGATGGACTGTAATACCATAGTTTTATTGATTATATTTAACATTTTTATGTTGACAATAATATTTTTGATGGGATTAAGCCATAATTGGTTATAATAAAAATATAATATTTTTGTTCGTTTTTGACTTTTTGAATTCCAATCCGGAAATCATTCTCAAAAAAAAGTTAGAAAATCAACTGATGTTGGATCCCCATGGTAATGTAACCTTGGGTTAACATAAAAATGTAATTATCATTGCAACCAATTGTGGCATAATAACATAAAAAATATAATTGTTAAACATATATATATATATAGTCCAAGATTCCTAAGAGGAACATAGGGCTTCCACAAAGTGTCTCCAGCGAACTCTATTTCTGGCTAGTGCTTTGATTTCAAGCCAGGATTTTCCCATTTTTCTCCCTTCGTCCAGTACTGTCCTTCTCCAAGTTCCCTTAGGTCTGCCTACTTTCCGTCGGCCTTGGGGATTCCAATCCAGCGCTGTCCTGGCAATGTCATTTGGCGGTCTACGGAGTGTGTGGCCCAGCCATCTCCATTTTCTTCGCCTTATTTGCTTTATGACATTTTCTTGGTTGCTTTGGTTCCATAAATTTTCATTGGAGATTCGGTTAGGCCAAAATATACGAAGGATTTTTCGTAACGCTCTATTGATGAAAACTTGTAATTGGTGTACTATGGGTGCTGATATCTTCCACGTTTCGCAGCCATACAGTAATACAGCTTTTACATTTGTGTTGAAGATTTTTAGTTTCGTTTTAGTTGGGTAAATCCTGGATTTCCATATGTTGTTAAGCATGTTGTAGGCGTTGCGAGCCTTATTTATTCTTTCATGTACATCACGCTCTGTACCCCCATTACAGTCAATTATGCTGCCCAGATATACAAATTCCGCTACTCTCTCAATTTCCTGGTCGTTGATCATAATAGGTTGGTTGTTTCTGGTACCAAATCGCATTTCTTTGGTTTTGTTGGTGTTTATTTCTAGACCAACCTTCTTTGATTCTTCTAATTGTCTAATTGTTAAACATGCCACAAGAAAACAGCTTCCAAACATTTAAAAATCAATCCATTCATATTTTAATTGGACCTCAACGAACAAATTATATTATTTCTTTTCACTGCTTATTTTTTAAAATCAATTTTATATGAAATTTGCACAAGTATCGAAAGTCACATTATAAAGTGTTGTGAATAATGTGAGCCGCACAACTGATTCCCATCAAATTTGGATTCACCTGCGATTTTAATTTGTAGTAAACATTGTTTTGTCCACCTCGGCTTTTACCACCAAAATTAGTATTAGTATTATCACCGCAGAATGAAACTAACTTTCTTGAGATTTACTTTTCAAAAGTGTTCCTCAAGATCTGCACAATAATATCAGATGTTTCTCCATCTCCAGCCATCCCCATGGTTAGATGCATTGGTAATTATACTGACGTATGTTGCATTGTTCATTGCATCAACCAATTGATTTTCGATGTACGGACCAAAGACATTAACAATTGCCTCACATTTAGTACGAGCTGACTGAAATTTGGTCAGTCCAAAGAAATTCCGAAATATTTTCGATGAGCAATCAGCTGAGCCAAAGTTTTCATTCTCCTTAATCATATGATACGCCCAAACACCCTCCTGAGCTGCTGACTCTAAATCAATATTGCTCGATGTTGCTGTTGCCTTGAAAAATTCAGTAAATTTTTTGCTGCCTGCCGCGGAGCTAATACCTCTTTGTGTTTTTCACTTTTGATGTGACTCACTAATCCACTCTACCACTGTGGGCGATCGAAAATTCGGATCCACAAGTATCACATTTTACGTCACTGTTTCTTTTTTTTTTCAAAAATGGGAATTCTTGCAATGTTTTATTAAAGTACAATAGCGTTTTCTCTTTTTACTTTCTTGTTCTGGTTCATATTAACAATAGAATGGAATGAAAAATGTAAAGTCAACTAAACAATGCTTCGGACCTTCGTAGATGATCACTAATCTATTGGCTTCAGAGTGATTAGTGTCATAAAATAAATGTTTACATACAATCATACTGCAAGGCAGCAGATTTGATCTTGGTTCAAAGCACGCAACGGTTTAGAAATGAATAATTTATTTTTCAAAAATATACCGCGAATGAAATCAAGAAGTTTGTTCACCTACTTAGAATGGTTGACAAAACAGAAAAAAAAAAACATTTATCAGCAATCACTACATCGTTGAATGCAGCACACCTCGGTCGGCATGATTGATGTATATACAATAAATGAATTTTGTTATTGTTTTTGACTAATTTTTTCGGAAGAGGATAATTAAAATACAGCGACGAAAAAAGTGCACAGTTTAAATTTTTATATAACATAATACCACGATAAAATACATTCGTTTTGGATGTGGTATTAGTATTACACTCTAGAAATTTTCGACTTTTTTTCGAAAAAAAGACGAAAAGAAAATAGTTAAAAATTCGGATGGCCCGGAAGACTTGTCCGGGATGCCGAGACACGATTTCGTAATTCGGGCCATCTCCCGGATTTTTCAGGCTAGTTGGTCACACTAAATATTTTATATTTACTGGATAAACTAGATGCAGTGGCCTAGGTGCTGAACTAAAACAAATACGTCCGCTTTTAAAATTCCAACTTGTCTGTATCTGACAGAGATGCTAGCAAGTCCAACCTTCCACTTTCTAAAATATAATACAAAAATTACAAAGTGCGGAATTTCACCGTTTCAAATAACAAATATTGGTTAGGCGAATAGATCCAGTAATCAGCAGTCATATTTTCATCTCCACATAATCCCTATTTTCTAAAAACAATGGAGTTTTGGTTTAGGTTTTTAAAATTAGAATGACCATTTTTTTTAATTGTCTATTATTTTAATATAATAAACGGAATAAAACACCTACCTCAAAAATTTAAATATCTACAGGTGAAAAAAATCCAGTACTTATCAAATAAGTGCTGTCCTCCAGTTATAAGAATTATTTAAACTTTTAACACTGTTTTCTGAAATATTAAGTTTTTGTGAACTGAGGGTTTTAAACACGGTCCAAATGAAAACACAATAAGTAAACAAATAATAAATCAAATGAGTTTAATAAGAAAATGCAGTTCCCTAATAAGAACAAAAAGAAGAATAACATGGAGTATAAAAGAAAAAGCTAAAACATTTAGATACATTTTTAAAAGTAGCTTAAAAAACTGTTCAAACAATGAAGGAGAATAATAATTATAATAATCTTACCTACGCCACAGAATAATAAATAATTGTTTATTATTTTGTGCCTACGTAAAAGCTCAGAGTGTATGTTTGGTTGTCTACATTAAGGTGGTAATATATTAAGTAACATACCTATAATACATTATCGTTTTATGTTATAAATTGTAAAAAAATATTTTAATCTGTGGCAGGACTACAATCTCACATATTTATTATTCTATATTAATTTTTATTATCTATAGTTTTTAAGCTTGGAATTGACATCTGACGTTGGGAAAGTTTGACGTGTGTCAATAAAATAATACAGGAACCAGAAAGCATCAAATAACTTCATTCCATGAAAGGAAGTAGTCGAAGTAGGACTGTGATTCATAACCTAATTTTTTTACGTGATGTTTACGAAGTTTCGATGAAAACGAACAAATTGTAAATAAATATGGCAACCAAAATAGTGAGAACTAAAAACATATCTAACCTATTTAATAACTCAATTTCGGTGTACTTATCTCAAAAGACTACGCTAACTAATTTCGCTAAACACCAAAAGACTTTTGTAAATAATAGTTGTAAATTTAGTTTAAGTTCAGTGGTAACCGGAACTGCTGGTCATGCAGAAACAACGAGCACAACACAGGGTTTAAACAAACTACAAGCTCAAGAACTTATTTTACGACTCAATGGCGAGGAGAGGAATGTTTTGATGACGGCCCTTCACGAATACCAGTCCAAATTAGTTAAAGATGAATACGAAGGTGAGTTGTGTTGTAGTTGGGAGATATTGAATAATCTCGATATTGTGTTAGCTGTTAACCTTGTAATTTGTATTTTTAAACAGTTAAATGATATAACTGGTGTTCCCTTGAAACTTACGTACTTATATCTTTGTTTTTATCTGTGGCCCGAAAAATATCATTGCACAGGTTATAAGCAATGAAAAATATTTTTATGGAATAATATTTAGACTGCGAACAAAGATATGCGCAAACGGGAAAATTAAATATTAATAAATGTTGAAAATAAAAGCTTTATATTTTTTATTCATATTCTTTAACTAATTACATACTACTTTCAACTACCAACGAATATAGTGCTTCTATATTCCTTGCAACTACGTTCACAGACAAAATTCCATATTTTGTTTTCCGACTAAGTAGGTATATTAATTTTTAATCTTTTGTGATTTATACACTCAGATGTAAAAAAAACGCAAGGGAGAAAATTTTGGTCAAATTCAAAGTATTTAAATTTTTTTATTTGTAGCCCTATTTAATGATTTTTTTTAGCACACTGTGTAAAAATTTATAAATTTTAATTTAGTCTAGTGAATTTTTTAATAAAATTTTGTATTTGGGTTATTATATGGTGTTAATCGAAAGGTTGTTTTTTATCCTAACTTTGAAACATCCTGTGGAATAATTCCGTAAGCCGATTTTCGTAAAACCTTCTTTTTCGGTTGCAACCATGTCTTATAAGTATTATGTTTTTTTGTTTCATGTGAAAATATGGATTGGTTTATTTTTAGGAGCGAAATGACTTTGCCACCTACAATTTACGACTTTTCCTATTATTAACATTATCTTTTGTATTTATTTGTAATACGGCGATGGTGGCTTTGGTGACTGATATCGAAGGAATGTCATATCGACATCCCAGAAGCACTGTATTTAAATAATAATTAAAAGCAACGACATGATCTTGATTAAAATAAACAATTATAACAATAACAAAACATAAAAAAACATCTTAAATGTAACTTAACCTAAGTACGCAAATAACAAAGAAAAACTACTAAAAAATAACATTGTATTGTCTCCCCTAGCCTCTATAACTGTATACACGTCGGCTCATGCTGCCTATGAGGTTGCGAATATCATCGCTCTGGATGTTTTGCCATTCCTCTTCTAGAGCCAAGCGAAGTTCGTTAATTGAGGCTGGTGCGACTTCGCGACCTCTAATATTTCTACCAAGCATGTCCCAAACGTGCTCTATTGGGTTCAGGTCTGGCGAACACGCTGGCCAGTTCATTTTATTAATACCCACTTCCTCTAAATATTGCGTGACAAACATTGCAGAGTGAGGTCGCGCATTATCTTGCAATAACAAAAAATCATCGCTGATATATTGAGAAAAGGGTACTATGTGATTCGCTAAAATTTCCTCAATATACCGGTATGCAGTGAACCCCTCAATACATACCAATTCAGTGTGCGCCTCTCGGGATATTCCTGCCCATACCATCGAACCCCCTCCATGGCTAACGCGGGAACTGAGAGCGCATTCCGCAAATCTCTCTCCAGTTCGACGCCATACTCGTTCTCTCCCATCTGATGAGTGAGGACAGTATCTCAACTCATCCGTAAAAAAGAACATTATTCCATTGTCCTCAATTCTAATTGTTTCCAACGCTATTAAATGAGCTGTTAAATCAGGCAAAGCGTTGACTCGTATAAAGCGGTAGTTTTGCACTTCCTGCCACTTCCCGCTTTGCGCTTGTTTGTTCCAGTTCGTATAAAACGTTCCACTACCCTTTGGATGGTAGAGCGATGAGTGTGTAGTACTATAGTCGGACAATTTTCAATTAAAGGTGACTAATCTACAAATTGAACTAAACGGTAGCGGCAACCATGAAAAATTTCATTAGTAAATTCTTACCGGGGTCATTTTTATTCTGTATGCTTCGCCCATGTAAATATGTAAATTTGTAACCCATCTAAGATAAATTTGCCCCGTAACAGTATAAATTGGTGCGATTCACGAGTGTATAGTGAGACAAGTTCATAGAATAGTTTGGAACATCGGTAAAATTATCAATATTTTGCTGGTCTATATATATTTACGTTTTTAGAAAGAATGTTAATTAGAGAAATATGATATCTTAGCTTATTGAAGTTTATGAAATATGATATCTTCCAGATTTTATACAATGTACATAGGCGTAGTGTATTATTGGGAATATATTTATTAAATATACTTTATTAACTTTAAAATAGTTTTGAGGTAAGTAAAGTAAATTTAAGGCCAGTTTATTCTTTATATAGTATTAAACCCTTAACGGCCGCTCAATATACAAAGAGAAATTTGACAATTAATTTATTAGATTGGATTAAAAACACAAATTAGGAATAAATTACAACCAGAAAGATTTTTTTCTCATTTTTAAGGAAAACAGTACAATTTTTAATAAAGGAACATATTATATCTTAAACGTAAATTAAATTTTAAAGTAAAAATTTTCGAAATATTCGGGATGTAGATGCATTCTACACTTTTTAGATAAATAAATAGTATTACTTTTGTACATCCTACATTTTTGCACTATCGTCTCTTCTTATAATGTGGCCAATATTGTCGAATCTGGTTTCATCTGGTAAAGCAAATTTAGATTGACGCCCATGTACTGACACTGATGTAGCGGTTTCTTCACTATTATAAATTAAAATTATAAATCTATGTCGGCTCATGCTTTCTCTTATAGTATGCACTTCTTTATCCTCATCCTTTGACCAATGCATATCAACTTGAAGCAGAGTGTAAACTAGATAATATACATATGTTAATAATTTTTTTAAATCTATGTTATTCATTTCAAAATTGTGACGGTTATTCTCAATTACTTTTGTATCAAAAAGAGTGAAAAAACTTCAATATATGACTTGCCTACATGGTTGGCTTTTATATTGTCTAAATATCAATCAGACTGATGTTGAATTACTACTGAGCACGAAAGAATATCCGTTATTATAACTTGAGATAAATTTGGATTTACTATTTTTACCTTGATTCTTCACAAATAATATTATCATCAAGATCTTCAAGGAATACAATAATATACCAGCAAACGAATGGGAAAGATACCTGACGGAACTGTTTAAAGCAAAGGAAGATAATAATCAACACAATAACGTACCTGAACTAAGAGACGAAGTAGAAATCAGTTTTCACGAAGTAGAAATAGTCATAAATTCACTCAAAAATAGAAAGTCACCAGGACCAGACGGAATAACCAACGAGCTTCTAAAATACGAATGAGAAAGTTTAAGCCTAGAGATGACAAAACTTATACAAAAACTAATATTGCACTGCAAGATACCAGACGCATGAAGAAACAGCATAATGATACCAATGGTCAAGAAAGGAGATAAAGAAGACCACAACATTTATAGAGGTATAAATCTACTGAACACCGCACTTAAGCTTACCACAAAAGTCCTAACCAACAAAATCAATAAACTAACAACTTTATCAGATGAACAACAAGGATTCAGATCCGGATGATCCTGCGTAGACGCCGTATTTGTACTAAGACAAATCACAGAAACGTCCATCATATCTATGTTTTATAGACCTGACAAAGGCTTTCGATCGCATCCAAGTCGCAGACGTCTTACACCTACTGTATAAAAGGAACATAACAATCAATATTATACAAACCATCGAAAGCATCTACCTCCATAATCCAATACAAGCAAAGATAAATGGAAAACTAACACAGTGTTACACCGGTACAAAGCGGAGACAGGGTGACTCGTTAAGCCCACTTCTCTTTAATATATTAATGGACGAAATAATACAAGTAGTACGTAAAAGTCATAGCTACAGAATTGGGAACAAGAAAATCCAAATATTATGTTATGCAGACGACGCCGCATTAATCGCCGAGACAGAAGATGAGCTCTAAAGATTAACACATATCTTCAATACAACAGCTAAGAAATACAATATGATAATATCAGCGGAAAAATACAAATGTATGACATTTAAATACCCACTACGGTGTAAAATCGAAATTGATGGGAAAATAATAAAGCCGGAAGCAAGGGTTAGATATCTGGGAATAGATATAACTAGTTACGGAGATGTTGAAGGAGAAGTACGACAGCAAAGCTTAAAAGAAGGTAAAGCGGCGGGTTCTCTTAATGACACAATCTGGAAGAACAAACACCTAAGACAAGACACAAAAACAAGAATCTATAAAGCAGGAATTAGACCTATATACACGGCTAAGACAAGACCTGACACATCTAAAACGAGACGACTGCTAGAAACAACAGAGATGAAAATACTCCGACGAATATCAAGGAGAAGTCTGTTGGATAGGGAGAGAAGCAAAAACATAAGAAGAGCATGCAATATAGAAGACATAAATGGATGGGTGACAAAACGAAAACAAAAGTGGAACAAACGCAGTAGAATGGCGGAGGATAGAATAGTACGAATAGCACGAGATAAGTCACCAAATGGACGAAGAAGTATTGGCAGACCAAGAAAAAGATGTTGCGACAATTTAAACAATTTAGGAAGCTAATATTGAAGAAGAAACAGGCTTTAAAGCCTACAAACTAGAAGGAAGAAGAAGAAGAAGATCAATGTCTTCTACATCAGAAACTTTCTAATCTAATCTCGGCGGCAAATAAACCACATTAAGTGGCATTTTCACAATCTGAGTCTTCTTCTAACAAAGCTATTAACTCTTTAGTAGTTAGTGCCATCTTCATTTCATATTTCGAGAAATTACTGAAATAAACAAATGCACTGCTATATAAACACATTCATATGATAATAGTTTAGCTTACTTCATTTTAATTTATATGAACTTCATAATATATTTTCATATTTATGTAAACGAATTAACAGAACAAACTTTCAAATTAAGTTAAAAAAAAAACAAATATAACGTTTACAGCACACAGCAATTCTATAAATAGAGAATGATGTGTTATTATGTGTAATTAAAATTGCAGATTGTTTTTAG